AGAGAGAGAGAGAGCGAGTGAGAGAGAGAGTACTGAGCAGAATTCCTTCATGAAAGCTTGTACATTCCTCCAATTGTTCTCAACGTCCTTCCTCCAAAACAAGCAGAACATTAAATAGAACATATCTAATCATTAAACTATAGCTCAGTTTGGCAAATAAGTTTCGGAAAAACAAAAATAAAATCAAGCATTCACCTTTCCCACGTCACAGTAAATAGCAATCTGGACATAAACTATGCATTAGGTACATGATCAGAAAAAAAAAAATTAAAGGCATGAGAATTATGCAAATGTGTTTTTACAAAGGTGGAAGGGAGAAGGGAGGGAAGAGAAGGAAGGAGGAGGAGGAGAAAGAGACAGACACAGAGAGACACATATGCACAGACAGAGAGAGGCAACAACCAAGTTTGGAAAGAAATATAACCTAAAGCACAAAGGAAATTTTCCCAAAGAGCTTCATATTATAAAATTGTTTGTTAAAACATAAATATAAAACATTTTTATTAAATGTTTACTAAATGTTTTTACTGTTTTTATATAAATTAAATGTTAACTGTTATTCAATGTTTATTATTAATAAATCAGAAAGTAAACTATGTCAACAAAAATGTGGATGGTTGCTGAAGAGATGGGTTAAGTTGTCACGGGCTATCTCCTCATCTTTCTTAACAGTGAATGAACAGATATTGTCTGAAATAAAAGCCAGTGTTTAGTGAATGATTCTATGCTTTTAGTATATTAATGTATTAAATGATATTTTTTCTCAACTTTAATGAGATTATTTAGTAGAAATGCCATTCAACCTAGCAATACCATTTTAGGCATCTACCCAAAAGAGCATAAGACATTCTATTATAAAGACATCTGCTCCCAAATGTTTATGGCAGCACAATTCACTATTGCAGGACGTGGAAACAACCCAAGTGTCCGTCAATTCATGAGTGGATTATTAAAATTTGGTATATGTTTACAATGGAATATTACTCAATTCTAAGAAATGACAGCGAGCTAGCACCACTTATACTATCCTGGTTTGAGCTTAAGCCTATTATCCAAAGTGAGATGACACAAGATCAGAATAATGAGCTCCACATGTACTCGCCATCAAATTGGTACTGACTGATTAACACTATGGTGCTCAAATGGTGGTGGTGTTCACTAGGTATTGGGGGTTGGGTAGATGTGGAGGGTAGAACCACATCTGAGGGATGTGGTGAGCATTGTGGAGGGGAAGGGCATAGCTCTAACCCTTGCTAGGGAGAGGCAAAGATATAAAATGTAACCAAAATGTTAAAAAAAATGAACAAACATTTATGGGGTGTTGGGCAGGAGGGAGGGGGAGGAGCGGATGGGTATTTACATACATACTGAGTGTGATGTGCACTGTCTGGGGGATGGTCACACTTGAAGCTCTGACTCGAGGGAGGAAGGGAGGCAAGGGCAATGTATGTAACCTTAACGTTTGTACCCCCATAATATGCTGAAATTTAAAAAAAAGGAAAAGAAATAGTATATGAGATAGGACCCCATTTTAAATGAAATGATATCTATTAGTCAATCACTGCCAAATAATGCTGCATAACACCCTCAACATTTAGTGGCTTCCAACAAGAAGAATTAATTTCTTACCCAAGAATCTATGAGTTGCCTGAACTCACTTGGACTTGACTCCATGGTACAGATTGGATTGAAATCTGCCCCGGGTGACTTCTGGGACCAGCAAACACTCGGCAGCATATTCTTCTCATGGTGATGACAGGGTCAAAGAGAGCAAACCTGTCTGTGCAAGGACATTGAAGATTTGGCACACATCACAGAGGGACAGACACATCACCTAGCACACAGCACTTTTTCCCCTTGGGTTAAAACAAGACATATAGCAAAGGCCAAATTCCAGTAGGGAATAGACTCTCATCAGCATCAGGCCATGGCAAAAGTGTAGATGTCGAATAATACTGTAGGGGGCAGAATTGAGACTGATAATTCTATCACTTCATCCATTTATTTACCCATATATACAGAGAGGAGAGAGGAATGATCTACACTAGGGTGATGGAATTTTAGATGATTTTTCTTTTACTTTATTCCTTGCTTTGAGGAGGTGGAGGAGAGGCTTTATTTCTTAAATACTGCATTATATACAATTATGATTTTTTAAAAAGCTTTATTGAGATATAAATCGCATAGTAAAAAATTCACCCTTTCAATGTGTATGATTCATTGTTCTTTAGTATAAACACATAGTTTTGTAAACATCACCACTATTTAATTTCACAGTATTTTCATTACTCCAAAAACACCCATTAGCGTTAAGCTGTAACCACCCATTTATCCCCTTCCCTAAGCCTGTGGCAAGCACTAATTTAGTTTTGTATCTATTGATTTGTCTATCCTGAATATTTCATATAAATGAAACCACACAATATGTGGCCTTTTTTGTTGTTGTATTTTAGAGACAGGGTCTTGCTCTGTCACTTAGTAGAGTGCAGTGGCCCAATCATAGCTCATTGCAACCTAGAACTGCTGGGCTCAAGTGATCTTCCTGCTATAGCCTCATGAGCAGTTGGACTACAGGTGCACACCACCACTCCTGGCTATTTTTTTTTTCATTTTTTTGTAGAGATGAAGTCTTGTTATGTTGCCCAGGCTATTCTTAAACTCCTGGCCTCAAGTAATCCTTCTGCCTTGGCTTCGCAAAGTGCTGGGATTACAGGTGTGCACCACCATGCCTTGCCAATATGTGGTCTTTTTGAATGTCTTCTTTCACCCAGAATAATGTTTTCTGGATTCATTCATGCTGTAGCATGTATCAATACTTCTTTCTCTTTTATTGCCCAATAGTATTTCATTGTATAGATATGTCACATTTTGTTTATCCATTTATTAGCTAATAGACATTGGAGTGGTTTTCACTTTTTTTGTTGTTAGTTTGAAAAATGTTGTTATGATCATTTCTGTGCAGGGTTTTCAATTCTTTGGGGCATATACCTAGGAGTGAAATTGTTGAGTCATGTTTAGCTCTATATTTAACTTTTTGCATAACTGTCTGTTTTCAAAAGTGGTCACACATTTTACAATCTCACGAGCCATATGTAAGGGTTCCAATTTCTCCACATCCTCACCAACATGTGTTATTATCTGTCTTTTTAATTCTACCCATTTTAGTGTGTTTGTTCTTGTAATTTTTGTTTGTTTTTCACTAATGACTAATGACGTTGACTATCTTTTTATGTGATTATTGTCCATTGTATACATTTCTTGAGAAATATCTATTAACCCCTTTGCTCATTTTTCAGTAGTTGTCCTTTCTATTGTTGAGTTCTTTATATATTCTGATACGAAAATCCTAACCTGATATATTACTTGCAAATATTTTCTCATCATGTGGGTTATCATTTTGTTTTTATCATATTCATTTTATCATATCATTTTGTCATATTGAGTGCTATATATATTTTTAAAAATTTATTCACTTGTATATTCCCTTCACTTATATTCATTGATGCAAATTATTACTAATCCCCTAACTAAGCATAGAGGAAAGAATAGTGAGATAATTCCTGCTAGGAGTCCCGTTAGACTAGAAGTCAAATGAGAAATCAAAATTAAGGCAGATAATCGTAACACAATATGACAATGTTTATAATTGAAACATTTCTGGGAGCATAAGGGAAATGGTGCCAGTGGGAAGGAAGGAAAGCAAGCTTCACTTCACTGAGAAGTGACATCTGAGCTGAGACTTTAGCGGAAGTTACCGAGGTAGGTGGGTGCAGAAACAGTGCTCCAAAGAGAACACATCATGTGCCTGCACAGAATTTGAGGGGATTTTGGTAGTTTCAAGAAACTACAGGTATTCTCTAGAGCTGTATGTTAGGTTTGATGGTGACAAATGAGCAGAAAGTGGTAAACAATGACATTATGTAGAACTTTCTCTGCTATACAAAGATTAAAATGTAATCCTGAGGATTCCAATCATAAAATTTCTACCCAAGTGACATAATCCAATTTGTCTGAAAGAGCCTTCTGTTGGTGGTGTGGAAGATGGATCTGAGAGGAGTGTGCCCAGGGGCAGGAAGACTGGAGAAATGGAGGCCGTGGCAACGTAATGGGTGGCGAGGCATGATGGGGGGCTAAACCGGAGCAGCAGCTGCAGAAATCGAAAGGTAGACACAGCTGTGAGACAAACTGAAGGCAACGAGTCTTGCTGATAGATTACATACACATTATGAAGGGACAACAGGATGTAAAGCAATTACTCTATTGCAATGGACTACATGTTCGCGTCCCCCCAAAAGCCACATGTTGAAACTCCCTAGTCCAGGTGATATTAGGAGGTGGAATTTTTGGGAAAAGTCATGAGGATAGAGCCCCCATGATGAGATTTGTGCCTTTATAAAAGGGTCCCCTGAGAATTCTCTCACCCTCTTTTCTCCCACGTGAGGATAGAAAGAAACTGATAGTCAGCAACCCGGAAGAGTTCCCTCGCCAGAGCCGGACCTTGCCGGCACCCTGATCTTAGACTTCCAGCTTCCAGAACAGTGAAAAATGAATTTGTTGTTTATAAGCTTCCCAGTCTATAGTAATTTGTTATAGTAGTCTGAACTAAGACATCTGTGTTTTCAATATTCCTACTTTTTCTTATGAATGTAAAGGATGATGATATTTATAATTTTCAACTGTTTATAATGCATAATTAAAACAGTCTAAATATCAGAAGGACTATGAACATTATATTATCCTTTTGGAAATAAGGACATTATATTAAGTATAAAACTTGCATTTTCTGCTTGTCCTTAAACCAAATCCTAAACAGAAGTCAATGTACCTGTAGAGAGTGACACACCAAGGCTGACCAATTTGTGCCAGGAGGTTTCTCACAGTGGAGATTCTCATTACTTTGTTCTTTGTATCTTTCCAAAGAGCACATAAGGATTACTAGATGAAGGAGGGAATGCAGAAATGAAATGTAGAAATGAAAAATGTAGACATGAACACCTGCCTCATGACAATTAAGGCTTGTTCTTTTATTTTAATACACATCACTGGGCAAAACAGTCCATTGCTCAGGGAGAGAGGCATGAAACACAGACATCACATACAAAACACGGTGTGGTCAACAGTCAATACTTCCTGGACTTCTGAGAAATTAGGGTCACATGTACTTTTAATGCATTTTTTTACTATATTACACAGTACAATCTATGAGTGAGTGGTTATAACGAAGTTAGTCCTCATAGCATTCCCAAGAATAGACTGGCAACAGTGTGGGGATTGCTACCTTTATAGAGTAATTTCTTCTGTCAACATTTTTATAAGTAAACAAAAAATAAATATTTTTAAAAAGGGAAAGAAAATATTCCATTCAGAAGTTGAAAATGCTGGATTAAACATTGTTAAACAGGTCATTTACTGTAAGACTTAATAAGTCTTTACTATGCTCATGAAAGTGGTAAATTGCCAACTGCCTTGCATTTTCCATGGAGCTTAATCTGGTAGGCCTCTATATGGCTAGGACAAAACTAGGAAAAGGTAAGGAAATATTATGAAACAATACATACGCTCATTTTGTTTGTTTTTCATGTGGTCGGGGACAAAGTAGGTAAACTGCAAAATATGAAAGCATGGTAAATGGTATTGTCTGGAAGAGTAGTCTGAAGACACATGGCTCTGGGTACTAGTCGTCTTCCAATAGGTTAGAAGGCTTAGGAAAGGACAGGGTGCTGAAGATCCCAGTCCTCAATAGAAACCTGCATCCGGAATTGAGGAAGCACACCTTCAAGTGTGCTATGTAAAATACTAGAATCCACATACCAAATCAATTTATGCTCACTTCACTTAGTAGTTCCCATTGAAAATACACACATGGGTGGAAATGCTAAGGTTTTTTTTTTTTTTTTCCAATTTCACAATACTGTATAATCTATCAGTAAACATTTAATAAATCACCTAACAACTTTTAAGTCAGGTGCAACTTAATTTACCAGAAACCAGGATTAAGACTAGTGATAAAAAGAAAACCACTGCTCAAAGGCTTTGGCAATAAGAGGCAGGGAAACCTCAACAGAATTGTTCCCTTTTTGACCTGTCTTTTGAACCGACATATGCTTTTGTATAATGAAAATCAGGATAACACAAAATCTTATCATTTTCATTTTCTCTGAGTCCAGGAGAGAAATCTTGCATATACACACACACACACATACACACACACACACACACACTCTTAGCTTCTCCCCAAAATAGCTGCATTCTTTTATTTGATGATTCAATACATTTTTAATTCAAATAGTCACCACATCACCTACGCACAATATTAAGCATTTTACAAGCAAAGTATTTTACTGATTTTCTTTTCAATTGCCAAGGAGTACAATAAGTGAACTGGCTAAAGGATATACTTCTGTACATAAAAATATCCATGTATTTATACAAGCGTATGGAACAGAGTTTAAAGATAATAAAACCATGACATCACAATAAATAGGATGTGTCCCTATAGCACAGCGCAGCATGCTTTGTCAGGAAGCTGCCAAGTCTCTTTTTTCAAGGTGCTTTATGTTCTTCTGAGCTAGGCTCATTATTTCCCCAAAAAAGGATTAGGTTAGCAATGACTGGATCTGAATGTTTACTTTCATATGTTGCTTCTTATTTGCATCTCCAATAACGGAGGTGGAAGATATGATAATTTAATTATTTTCAAAAAGTCTTTGCAACTTAGCAATTTTTATTGATTTCCCACTTCAGTATTTTAAAATGCAGATTAGTCTAAGCTCTAGCACCATACGAGAATAAAATACATGTATTTTTGTCAGAGCAACAATATTTTATATCATCTTTGTTCCTCTGGCTTATAAGAATTCTGTTTAGAAAAATTTACCAAGCTAAAAATAGTTGATCTAGGTTGTCATAAAAAAGAATATTAAATACCTTTGGTAAAAATAGATATATTTAACAAGATTAGAAAAGCCAATAGTTATAATGTCAAAAGGAGAATATAAAAATGTACACAATAAAACAAATAAACCAACTTATAGGTAAAGTGAAGATAAGGCCACTCTTCTGGTCAGGTCTCTTCCAAAACACAAATGTAGTTCTCTTCTTCTAAATGGTAGAAATTTTAACAAGAAATATGGAAAATCCAGTCTTTTCTATCAGTATGCCACAAGTTTAATTCATAGCAACACAGGTCCTTTTTAAAAACCAAGTTTGTAGAACACAGAACATTCTGGCTTATATATGTGACTATAAGGAAAAAATTCCAGATTTTCTGTGATTTTAGGCCCAGAACACGGAGCTGCTTTTTGAGTTAAGCAAAGCGACAGAATTGGGTGCTCACTTGCACACAGTTTTGTTTTGTTTTTCCTGTACTGACATTAACCTAAGCCATCTTAAGACAACCGAAATATAGAAGGCAGCTAGTGGAACAGGTACACGGTAACTTTGTACTAGCTAGTGATCTACAACGTTTAATTTTTTTTCCACGATTGAAGACATTTTCTCCTGTCCTTTGGGCCTTCTCTCAAAAGAGCTGTTGCACAACTCTTCATTCCGTTTGCTGCCTCCTCTTTTAGAATGCACTGTAAATCTTGAAGGTGAAAGTTCCTTGAAGCAAACAACCGAGATTAAGGATGGAGATAACGCGTAAGTTCTCTAGCAGAATCAGCCGCCGCACTGCACAGCCAGCTCTGTGCTGGGCTGCTGGTGGCGATTATCCTCCTGTGTTTCCTCTGCACACACAGTCACACTCCTCATGGTGCTCCAGGGCCACGTCCGTGAGCGATTTGTGCAGTCCCCGGACACCGATCTTTGGTCTCAACTGAAGGACCTGAAAGGGAACAATGGAAGCCACCTTTAAAACTCAACCAATGTCTATAACTTTTGATATCCTGGGCAACTAACATTTCAGAGAAGAATCTTGAGGCCCAAGAAAGACTTGCAAATTTTAATTTCTCCTAGAGAAGACATGATGAAAACATCCCCCACTAAAAAATATGTATAAGCTATCATCACCATTTCATGAAAGAAAGGACACTTCAAATGCCAACAATGTAGAGGCACGCTGCCTCAGAATAAAGAACAGTCCTCAAATTGAAAAACTCACCATGCACTCTTCATTTTCCTTATCTAACTCTACCAAAGAAAGTTTCACCTTAAGTACTTTGGAAATACTAATACACAATTCATTTTTCTGTTTGCTGGTTTCTTTCATTCATTCATTTATTCACACGTTTACCAAATATTTATACTTGAAGCAATACACTCAGGCACAGGAATACTGTGGAAAGAAACATGATCGCTCCACAGCTGAGTCTGCTCAATTATGCCACTCATTAATTTTCTTGGCTACACTTCAAGTCCTCTATAAACTTGATGAGATGGATTAGATGTACTTCATAGACATCAGCCTAAGTCACAGCTAACTTTCTGCAGCTGGATCCTACTGTGCAGTGTAAGGAGTTTTGGCAATAATAACAATAATGCCTCTATTAAATAAAGCTATTTGCAGTTTGGGTTGTCGGGATTTTAATTAAAAATACAGCAAAACAGACACAGATACTAAACATGTTTCCTCTTAGTATTGTGACAAAGAGGTACAGCTTCTTATTCTATAAAAGACTATCTGAAGTATTCCATAGTAGCTGCCTATTCAAGTGTATTACATTTTATTCCTTATAATGCAAATGATAAAGTTTCTGAAGTTGTGTTTTGTTTGGATTATGAATACAAACGAGAGCACAAAATATGAAGCTGTCTAGCTTCACTACTTTCTGAGTAGGACACAGATAACTTCACAGAGCAACTTCGAAAAGCTACCATTCTTGGAAATTTTCATTAATCCAAAAAGGCGCAAGTCAAGTCTCATGACTGTTCTGTTTGAAGACTTAAAAAGAGAAATAGAGAATGCATACCTCATTGGAGTATGTGGTTATATCAGAGGTTAATTAGCTAACATTTTTTGAATGCTTACTGCGTGCCAGGCACAATAATAATGTTTTTACATACTTTAACTCACAAGAATTCTATGAAGTAATTTACAATTATTGCCCTTATTTTACACATGAATGAACAGAGGCTTAGAGAGAATAAGTGACATAGCCTTTATCTGTACCTAGACCAAAGATGAATTAATAAAGTTAGAGTGATAGATAATAATTTTATAAAAATTCAGAGTATTACTTCTAATACATTCTATTTATTAAATAACTTTCTTCTTGGAGAGATAAACTTCTTGTTACAAGTATCAGAAATAGTAAACTTTTAAAGTCTATTTTCCCATCTATTACATTTCTCAATTCTAAAATGAAAATTATTCAGACTGTATCACTTTAAGTAATATAGTCTTAGTAATCTGCAATGTATAATTAGTAATAAGTAATGTGAAAATTAATCCAATGACTGCTGAATATTATTTTATGCCAGTAATGACTGTTTTTGAACAATTTAGATTTAGATTTAGAGTGGCATCAACACGAACTACATTTAAGATACTGGCACTATTCCTTATCATACTCTTGCTACAAACTGATTCTGGAATGAGGATGGATGGGTAAGATAAACTGCAATACTGGCATAGCTGAGGTCTTCAATGTTTATCTTCAATGGTATGCATTTTCCCATGCAGCATGGAAAAAAATTACTATGAAAAGTAAAGGTTAGAGAGGCTACATATACAATCCTAACAGTCAGCCAGGCCAGGCTGCAATCCTTGTCCTCTAGCAGGCTCACGCCAAGATGCACGTGCCGAGGAAAACCCTGTGTCTTCATCTGCTGATGTTCACAGAGATTCACAAATAGCAGAAGAATCTCATAATGTCTTAGTAATTTTAAAGTCTTGGATAAGAAATCCTAATACGTGATGAGAAAGAATTAATGTTTTTCTTTTTAATTCCTTTTGAAAGTTTTGACTTTGGAAGAGAAAACTAGACTTAGAAAATAGTCAGCGGGTCCCAGATAATATTACACACAAAAAAATTTGCTTTTCAGGACATAGATTATGACACCAGAAAAGAACCAAGGCAGAAGTACAACTCAGAACATTTAGAGAAAGAGGTTGAAACTAAAATTCCAAGTCCATGAAAAAGAATGTCCAGGGAGAAGGTAAGCCACAGACTGTGGAAGAGAACAGATCAGACTCAGAAAGAATCACCAAGAAACAGATACTTATGTACCACTGCTCAACACAGGCAAAGAAAATGAGCTAACGATTTGAGAACCACAGAGTGGTGGGGAAAGGGATTCATTACTAAATAAGGCAATTGAATGATATATTTTTTTTTCCCCAAAGCAAACAAATCTAATGTAAGAAAATTAAGACTGTATGTTATGAAAAAAGAAATTAAATACATGAAGACATAAACAACATGAAAATCATTAGGCTGATTAAGAATAGAGAAAAAAAGAAAAAAATATGTTACTATTGTTGAGTATCCCACATAGATCTTTCGCCTAGAAGAACACCCTTCCTTCCTCTGGGCAAAGTTCACTAAATCTTTATTGATCATTTACCATAATTGAAGAAGAAGGCTAGGCACAGGGGCATAAAATAAAGATGAGTTATAGAATACCTAAGATATATTAAGGGCTTGAAGTGTGTGCCAGACCTTGTTGAAAGTGTTTTGTAAATATCAACTCATTGAATCCGCACAACAAGGTATGGGGGTTTGGAAACTCACCATACGGATCAGGAAATTGAAGCACAGGGGCTAATTAATTTGCCCAAAGTCACAAAGCTAACATGTTAGATTCAAACTCGAGATGTCTGGCTTTGAAGTTTGTATTCTCAAGCACTAAACTATAATGTGATCTTTGTTGTCCCTTAGCTCTCAAATTGGTAGAAATGAAGAAAAATAATTAATAATTTTGAAATAGTAAAAGTTATCTAATAGAGATATCTTTAAAGTCCTACACATGCATCTAGAATGTACTAATTAGTTATGCTAAGACTGGTGGGACACTAACAAGTGTTTCAAGGAAGAGGTGACATCTAAGTTTATACAAATATAAAGTTCCTGACTTGCTTTTCTCAAAATTCCTATTTGAGGAATAGAGAAATCATTAAGAAAAATCATTTCTTTGGCTAAAATGTCTTTCTGACTAAGAGATCTGGTGACTGATGCAAAAACCGTAAGAATCTTATTAATAAAATTATTATGTTATAATATCTTTTAGTTTTCTAAACCTTACTTTTGATACTCACAATGGATGAACAAAACCCAATACAAATGCTACAGGAAACCAAGAGAAGATAATTCAGTTATACTTAAAGTAACACAATGAATATGATTTAAGCTTAATATTTACGGAAGCTGGTATGATAGAAAAAGATGAAGGAGAGAAAAGTGATAACTTCTAAGCTCTCTGCCTTTGCTTCTGCCTTGTTAATGAGGTGGAATCATCCTCAAATTGAAAACTGGACCATCATCATCCAGAAGAATTAAAGTCCAAGACACGCTTCTCTTTAAATAAGTTAAGTCTCTATGTCCAGACTAATAGAATTCAATTATTTAATGATTTTAGAACAGTCTTAAATTATGTTTAGAAAACAATTTCATATTTTTAGGAGTAGTAATAGACTCACAACTGATTTTCAAAACACAAGAATGAGAAAAAATTTATTTCTAGAAATTATAAACTCTATTCTCAGAAATTATGAATTATGCCAAATAGTCCTATTTCCATAATTTAACAGAAATATTACCACACAAATACTAATGATTCCCACAAGGCATTTACAAAATTGGATCATTATTGTTATTAGAAATATTTGTGAAAAATGTAGAGTAGATAACTGTACAATTATATTTCTACATACTTATACCTTAGAGATATTTGGGAGAAACAAATGGATGGTCATGTAATTATCATATAATTAGACAGTCATCCATAATTCTATGTGTGTATATATGTAATATATATATATTTAAGCCCACCCAAAATAGGGAAATAATGGACTAATGTCATTCTGGAAGCAGGCCACTGAGGCTATAGGTACTGCATATAATAGCCTTGTCCCAAACATGGATTTTATCTGAGGCTTAATACATATTGCATATTCTGAGGCAACTTTCTGCATTACCCTAAAACTAACACTCCTTGAAAAGAAATGTACAGGTGTAAGATGCAGGAAGATGCGCTTGACCCGAGGATTGATTTAGCAGACCACTGCATGACAGGAACTGGGAATCCGATAAGCTTGTTTTAAAACGCTAACCCGACAAGTCTGGGTTTTACAAGGCTTAGAGTAGTAGTTTCAAATGCAAGACTTGTTGACTAAATCAGGTCCCCAGATACACTTTATTTACTGAGTACATGCTTTAGAGCAGTGGTCCTCAACCGTTTTGGCACCAGGAACAGGTACATGGAAGGCAATCCTTCCACGGATGGATGGGTGTGGGGGTGGGTGGGGGTGTGGTCCTGGGGTGACCCAAGTGCACCACATTCATTGTGCAGTCAAACCTCTCTGCCAAGGACAATCTGCATGTGCAGCTGCTTCCCAGGGCCAGCACCACCGCCCCGGCTCCGCCCCAGCTCACCAGGCACCAGACTCTCACAAGGATCACGCAACCTAGATCCCTCGCGTGCGCAGTCCACAGTGTGGTTCGGGATCCTGTGAGAATCCAATGCCCCGGTGGATCTGGCAGGAGGTGCAGCCCACGTGGTGACGCCAGCGACAGGAGCAGCCGCAAACACAGAGGAAGTCTCACCCAGCCGTCCCCTGGGGGCCTGGCTCCCCAGGTCACTGACTGGCACCAGTCTGCGGCCCCGGGGATGGGGACCGCAGCTTGAGCGACTTCAAAATTGAGTAGTTTCAGGTAGGAGACGATCACTTCAGTTTAATCTACATTCTCACCACATCCTTTTATGTAATGCTGGACATCTCCAATACCTGCCTAGCCTTTAAGGCATTTTAATTTTAATGTGGTTGTTCTTAACTAGATTCCCAGTTAATGGAGTTACAGTAAGGCCGGCCGTAGGTATAGCCTGCCTGGAGCTCTGCGAGACACCTCGGTCATGACTACCTATGTCCCGAAACTGGAGAAGAGACTTCATTCCCAGCAGAACTCTTTAGAAGCATGTGATGTGGAAATGAAAGCAGAACATGAGTAACGAGAGTAAATAATCCTACTTTTAATGACTGCCACTTTGGGATATTACCTTCTAACAGGCACAAGTCAACTTGTACACTCAACATTTTCATTAGTTAGGGAATGTCCTCAATTATATCCCACCTTCTCTTCCAGCATCATCTGGCATCAGGAAGCAATCCTTGATGAATCAACTTTAATTTTTACAAGACCTTTACATCAGACCAAGTCAAAATCTGGCTTTCTGACTTCGTTTCAGTAGAAATACAATTCACAATTGCAAAGATGTGGAAACAACCCAGGTGCCCATCAATACATGAGTGGATTAATAAAATGTGGTATATGTATACCACAGAGTACTACTCAGCCATCAAAACAAATAGTAAACTAATTAATATCTTTTCTATTTTCTTGGATGGAGCTCAAGCCCATTCTTCTAAGCAAAGTATCGCAAGAACGGAAAAACAAACACGGCATGTACTCACCGTTAAATTGGAACTAATCGATCAACACTCAGATGAAAATATGGAAATAACATTCATTAGAAATCAAGCAGGTGGGAGGAGGAGATAGGTAAATCCAAACCTGACGGGTACAATGCACACTATCTGAGGGATGGGCACACTTATACCCACCAAACAGTACAAAAGCAATTTATGTAACCAAAACATTTGTACCCCTGTAATATTTGAAAATAAATAAATAATAAATAAATAAACTAATACAGAGTAAATATCTACTTAATAAATAAAATGATCTTTCACATGCAAAAAGACTCAGTGAAACCCTCATCTGTTTAGGTAATCTAAACATGCATGGTTTCATAAACTGTATTTCACATGACTTGATTTTCCTGCCTTTTGCCAATATTGTGTTGGCAGCTGATTAAAGTGGGGGAAAAAGCACTGTATTCCAGAAGACAAGGGACTCTATTCCCATTCTAGATCTGTGCTTTCATTTCAGTGAGTGTTTCACTGAAGTCCTTATGCATATGAAAAGCCATTTTACCTCCTAAGTAGATATTTATTCTGTATTATCATCAAATTTAGCAGAAAAAATTAAAAGCAGTGAAAGGGAGTAATACTGAAATGAAGTCAGAAGGGCAGATTTTGGCTTGCTCTAATGCAGATGTTTGGTAACAATTAAAGTTGACTCATCAAGAAGAGACTCCTCCTGACGTACGTCTGCCACATGATGCTGCTAGAGGAGAAGGTGGGACACAGTTGAGGATATTCCAGCACTAATGAAAACGTTAAGTTCAAGTTCTAAGGTTCCTGCGGGCTATGAAAAGACAGTTATTATGAATATTTCATATTATCTTTTCCTTCATGCCTTTGTATGGTTAAAAAATGCAAACGAAGTTAAACATGTTATTTGGGTAACTTGAATAATAGAAAGATTAGTGTAATTATGAATAAGTCCCCTTGGGAGTTATGTGCCCATCTTGCCTCAAATAGAAAAATAAATATCAAAGATCTCCTTTCTCCAAAGTAGACAATGATTTATCTCCAAGCTTGTTTTTAAAATATTTTCCTTTCCTATTTTGAAAAGTTGAAAATTCTTCATCCATTTTTTTCTCCCCACGAAGAACACATTTTCTTTTTCGTCTAAGAGGTAAAATCTTCACTGACCACACATGATGTACTATCAGAGAATAAGCTGTCTAAATCCCTAATGTCTGGTTTTTAAATTAAAGATCATAATTTAAAAAAAATGAAAACATAAACTATCTGTAAAACTAATTTCTTTTTTCATTAACACGACATCTCCTTTCCAAACATAAATCCATTTCAGATTAACCGTTTTGTCCTAAGACACAAAATACTGAAAGGAAACTAAAAATAAAATGGTATACCTACCTCATGATATTTTTTAGTAACTTTGCTTGGGACACACTGACATTCATTGCAATTGTGGAGACAACAGGCACAGTTTCCACCACAGCGTTTAACCAGGAGACAACCTGGCCAGAAAATGGTATCGGTTCTCTTTAGTTCTTCCCTTACGGACACCGAGAAGTTACGAGGTGTGCAGCTGTATAATCTTACCTCCTCTTTTAGAAGGTTCAGATCCACCACTACATGGTATAAAAGAAAGCAAAGAAAAATAAATGTTCGTGCTTTTGAGCCTGAATGTTTCGTTAAGCTCTTTTCACAAAGAAATCTTATGTTATTTCATGAACAATACCTCTACCGATATCCCTTCTAATTTTAATTCGGTTTTAGGGCTATACAGCTCCCAAATTAGACTTTCTATTTCATAGTAAACAAAGCTTCATTATGACTTAGTGTCCAATAAAGAGCTGCCATTGTGCAATATAAGAACAGAGCCAACAAAACAGTTGAGAGTTATAAATAGGAAACTTCATAGAGAAAAAAAGGTCTACACTTTTTAACCTTACTAAAAAAGTAGACAAGGAGGACACTGGGGGGAAGAATTGAATGTAAAATGATTAATGCTTTGATTAGAAAACAAATGCAATTCTTAAAAGGATTACAGGCTCATACAATTAAGGAAGAACAACTTATTGAAACTTATTGATAGAATTTTCCATAATTTTTATGGCAATAAAATCACAGAATATAAAAAGAGAAGGAAGATAATATATTTCTGAAGACAGCTTGATAGACCATGAGTAAAAAAAAACTGATATATTTTTTCAGAGGAGAAGTTGTTGGAAAGAACTGCTTCAGATGTATTGAATAATTTATCTTCCTGGAAGTTTGGACCAACTAGACTCCTTCAGATATCTACCCTTGCTCTGCTAAAGGAGAGAAGAAATGTCTAATTTATAACCATCGTCTCTATTCTTTTAGCAAGTTGTTTAACTATATATTGTGCTTTATTCTTTCAAAGAATATGTACTTGTGAAGACCAAACAAAATATCTTTTCATCAAATTGTTGCTGTAAATCTTCAAAGAACCATTGCTTTTGGTTCTATAAAATGATACTGCCAACGATAAAATGATACAGCCTCAGGAATATTATATCAAAATAACATGTCATGTTCTGTTTGAATTTATACATAACACATAAAGAGTTGTTAATTATTAGGACAGACACTTTTAATATAATTCTAATTTACAATTATCTATTTTTCCCCTAGAAATATGCAAATAAAGCAATTCCAGTATAATTGAATAGTTTCAGTTAATGTATATTCCTTTAGGTTTTCTTTTCAAAAGTAAAAGGATTTTTTAAAATTGAGCAATATTATCTAAAATATAATAAGCTTAGTTAAATACCTTTTCACTAACATTGAAAATATTATAACCATGAATTGAAAGAAAAGAAAAAATATTTTCTGGTTAAAGATGGCTTCAAATAGTAATAATCACTTACTTTATATAATTCAAGTTTTAAAATTAGGTGCTAATTATTTTAATAAGTTTAAAATGACATGGTTGTTAAGAGTCAAATGCTTATTTTCTTGGATTTATTATACTTATATATGTGATCAAGTTTTTTCTTAAATGTCAAAGGGAGCCTATTTTAAGAAACATAAAATTATGCATATGCAATTTTAAATTATAAACATATATAAACCTTATGATCAACTAAAACCTCAAGTATAGGAAAGCACCAAAGAAATTCTAATGCTATAGGTTCATTTCAACACCTTATTCAGATAAAAAATTATTTTTCCAAATCAATAGAAGATCATTGTTTTATCTGCATATTTAAAGATTTCTTTTTCATCTGAAAATGATCCTGTGAAAGCAAAGATTTTACATATTTATGAGCAAATGTGTTCATTCTTTTAAGTGCCTTGAAAAGATCAACTTATCACTAATAAAATTAATGAGATCATTGGGTTAAACCATGTCACATATTTTACCTGATTTCATTTTGCTGATCTAATAGGTACACATTGCTCTTCTGTTGTTAAAGCTATATATGAGTTTATTTGAATTCTTTCTCTAGAAGTTAATATCTGGGCAAGGAGGGAGAAAACTTAAAAACATGCACAAACACAAAAGCTGGTTGCCAAAATTTTCAATGGTTATTTAAGATTTATACTACACATTAGAACGTGAAGAAGATGCTCTTAGCTGTCTAAGTATACTCACCTACCTCAAAGAGTTTTAAACATACTATTTTATGATATTAGAAAATGAGACTGTATATGTTCCCCTTAAAATGTTTACTTAACCACAATAAAAGGTTAGATGGATTTCCCAGGAGAACTAAGTTATGATACCTGCTACAATGTGAAAATTTAAACACCCTTTCAACTTAGCTTCCACTCATTTATCATGTTTGACACAAAAGGCAAAAGTCCTTTGTAAGTACTAGTTAAGTTGACTTAGAAAATATAGTTTTTTTTTTTTTTTGGCAATATGAATGAAAACCCTGAACCAAGGGAAAAAAGGAAAAGAAAATAAACAGAAAAACATAATAATGCAGTCCACTCTACAGTGGGTGAAAAATATAATTAAGAATTTTAAATATGGCATATCATATTTCAAACTTATGCTTCCTATTCCTAAGTCTTTAAACTCATATAAGCTTCATTAAAATAAGTCATTTGACTATATATCCTGTGTCATAAATTTTCCAAACACTGTGCAGAACTTTTAGGGGGGGAAAAAAGCAAAGAAAATAAAGAAGTAAGGTAAACAAAAGAAAAACAAAAAAAAAAAAAAGAGAAAGAAGGAAATGCCCTAAGGCATACTTTTTATGGGTTAATATTGGCTTATTAATGATGTTTTGCTCTGCAATATAATCATAAAATAAAACTTAGCCTTCAGATTTTTTCCTTTTCATAATTACCTCCTAAGACGATACATGCATTATTTTGTTTTTCTAAAGAATGGAGATTCTGAGCATATCACCAATCAAAATTATTATTTCTAAATGTAAATTTTATCAATTATTTTAAGTTTTACTAAAAAGGATAATATTGTCCAAAAAATTACAGTCACATTTTAATTTGTTGGTTGTTCATTCTTTTAAGATATTCAGTCCACAGATACTCTATTACCGTTAGGCAATTTGAGGGTGGTCTTTCTAAGATGAATGTGGTAACACTGTGATATGTTTATTCTGTGGAAAATCTATTTCAGTGTCTAATTAGAAGCTTTTAAAAGTTTCACTCCTTGTTCCTTTGTAGAGAGACTCTGAGGAGGGAAGTTGGTTTTGTCTATATAGATGTTATCCCACACCTGCATTTTAGTTTATGTAAAGTTCCAAAAATATACACTGCTTTTCTCACACTTACTGTATGCTTAAAAAGTTAATAGCTTTGGCAAACTGCAAAGGGCTTCAATTTTGAAAGTGTTAAATGAATATTTGAAAGATCTTGTTCAGTGCTGGATGCTTTGAAATACATGCTAGCCCCTGGCCAAATCTTTGAGCACTAGGCACAGAGATTGAGGCATAAATGTATGGCTGGCTGGAAGGGGAGTTTTTAGGCTCAGATCCAGAAACCAGCTGCCAAAAAACTAGATCTGAGTTTAGAACCTGTTTCACTCCTCCTGCTTCTTAGAGATCAACATGATAATCTACTTCAACTTTGCTAACAAGGGCTCTATTCATGGGTGTTTCAGCTAGTCTTGCAGATCTGCATCTTCCTGTTCCTAAGTGGGAGGGAAGGGAAGTGTTGTTTGTAAGTTATTCATCAAGTTATTCATCAAGTTCAAATCTTATAAATATGTAACAGCTTTCAGCATCTGGACAGGATTCGGCTGCCCATGCACTTGAACACCGATTTCAAATACTGCCAAAAGGAAACCACGTCTGTTGGCATAGCAAAATACTAGGGTTGGGCAAGTCTGAACATGACCTGCTGAGGCGAAAGCTCAAGATCCAAAAGGGCTGCATCTTGCCCCCGGGGAAAGGGCAGGAATCAGATTTCTTTCTGACAAGATTTAGAAGAACAAGTCTGGTGCAATCTGCCCTTGTGAATGGCTCAAATTAACCAAACATTGTTCCTTCCACATAAATTCTCCAGATTGTCATTCCGTTCTTTAAAGTGACCCTGGGTAGATTTTAATGTTTCTGACAGACTGAACAATTTTTTTAATGCATTATAATTATTCACTTATTTCTATTACATTTTCAAAGTCTGATATAGACACTTTGCAATTCTAATGTTACTAAAAATGATCAGCTAACCTTATAGAAAACTCTTTTAACATTTTCAATTGCTTGACGGGGGAAATTAGGCTTAATTATCAGCACTTTCACTCTTGAAGGGAGATACGCCCATAGGGTCAAAAGTGATCATTTCAAAAGCAAATCAATACAGAGAAAACTTACTATGGTGTGGGTTCCTTCAGGTCATTGTTCTCTTGCTATGAATCCTATCTTGGAAACTATTCATTCTATATTATGTTGGGTCACTGCTATTTTTCATATTATATAGAAGCTTAGAAAATAGAAATTGATATAGCCCTAATTCATAGGAGACATCATAGATAAGGATTTTTATAGTCTGTCCCCCTTTTCTAGCCTAAATCTGGGTTTGCAGCTGTGATGCTTTCTCTTGAATCTCAAATCAATATACTCCAGATACTAGGTTTGAGTAAGAAAATGTTCTTGTGAAACGCAATGGAGGACTTCATCAAAATAATATCTTTGAAGATAAGAAGTGACAGGAATTCAGATGTATCCCTTTTAATTTTCTAAACCCTCTGAGTTATAATTAGGTGCCTGCTTTTGTATATATTCTTATTCCATATAGAAATATGCTCAAATGATAAGAAAATGGATTATTTGAATATATCACTGAAGAATTTTAAACTCTACCCTTTAGAAAGCTGTGGCAGAAGAATCTGAAACATTAGCTGCAAAGAAAATTAAATGAGGTTCTAATCTGAAGAGGGAGCTTACCTCTGGATTTTCTTCCAAAAACAAAAGCCTTGCCAAGAAGTTGCCAAGTTGGCCTATATAAATCTTCTAAGTCCAACTGCCATCTATCTGGCTCGAGGTACCGAATAAGATCTTCCAGGGTACTAAAGGCAGTCACGGCATTATTAAGCAGGTCCAATGGCAAAGCTGAAGGCGGTAACACTGATGGACTCACAGCTTCTGTGAATTGCTGAAAGTAAAATGAATCCCATGTGAACTGTTTTAAAAATGACAATGCATTCCTTCTGGACTTAGGGAAGTTACAAAGACTAGGGCTGAAAAATGTAGGAAGTGGAATTGTATTCAACCCAATTAGAAGTAATTACTTTGCAAAGGTTTCATGTATTAATGGATGAACTCTGATAGATTTTCTCTGAAATCAATAAGGCACTAATTTTCATTACCGCAACCATGGTGAATATGGATATCTTTTGCTGATATAAAAAGTTGAAAATACCTTCAATTATGGACCTATAACAAAACTATAATACAATTCACCAAATTTTTCTTTTGTTTTACATTTTTCATTTTCTTCAATCTGGAAAATCACTTGAGTTATGCAGATTAATGTGAGATGAATTAAAAAAATAAGAAATAAGATCACTAACAAAACATAGGTGAAAATCCTTTGATGTTGAAGAACTTGTTAATCATGATAGAAAATGCCTAAACCTGTGGTCCCCAACCCCTGGGCTACAGCCCAGTACAGGTCTGGGTCTATGGCCTGTTAGGAAACGGGCTGCACCGCCTGAGGTCTGCACCCCACCCCGGCAATACACGCAGTATTCAGGGCCTGTGCAATCTGATCTCTGCTCATCTTCCCATCTAATCCCCTACGCTCCCCACCCAGCTTCAGTGGAAAAATTGTCTTCCATGATATCACTGGTCCCTGGTGCCAAAAAGGTTGGGGACCGCTGACCTAAACCATAAAAGATCAGATTGATGACTTTGTCTACAATATATATTTAGTATAAAATACCTATTAAACAAGATTAGAGAGACACAAGGAGAACACTTTGGCAAACAACCTAACTAACACAAGATTAGTATCTAGAATATACCAAAAAAAAAAAAAAAAAGACAACAGTAAAAAAGTGGGCAAATTCCAGACAAGAAGTTTAAATGGTCAATAAACATATGAAAATAAGTTAAAGTTCATTCATTATTAGAGAAATATGAAAGAAAATGAGGTATTATTTGACAAACAGAAAAGGTGATACTATTTCACATAGATGACATTGGCAAGAATTTATAAAAGGATTATGGGGGATGTCAGTAAACTGCAACTCTTCTGCTTTGCTTGCAGGAGTGAGTGTACAAAAGCAACTTTAACTGATGCAACTGAAGTATATTGGCCACTAGGGATTTAAATGTTTTATGTCCCTCTAGTCACCTTTGAAGTTTATATACTTTCATTGTACGCATGGAAATATGTATTAAAACAATGATATTAATTGCAGCATTGTTTTAAATAGAGAAAGACTGGAAGCAACTTAAATGCCCACGTATAGGGGAATGGAGTAAAACACATCGTCAACTTAAATGGCAAGCAACAAAATAAGACAACAATTTCAATGAAAATGAAAGTGCTAATACTCTATATAACTGGAGACTTAAAAACTCAGTAAGAACCCCCCTTCCATAATTTTTAATATGGACTCAGGGTAGGAAATGGAAGATCAGAGTTGAAGTTGGCATCAGCAAAATAAATAACAGGAGCACATACCTGTATTTGAATAAAAATGTTTATTCAAATAAATGAAGAAGAGTACGGAATAAAAGATTTATGTTATTTGATGTTCATCACTGCAATGTTTTTAACAAGAAAAAGCTGGGGAAAATCTAAATTTACAATGGTGGAATAGTTAACTATACTGTATACTCAAAAAATGGAGTAAGGCAGAGCCATTAAAAATGGAGTCCTCTGGGAACTTTTATTAACAAGAGACATATCAGAAAACAGGCTATATAAATACAGCTTTAATGTAGCATGATTTCAATATGCATAAATTGAAACGAAGCAAAAAATTCAAAAGTGCTTAAAATGTCAAGAGTTGCTAATCTATGGTTTAAAAATGAGAACGGGTGATTTTAATTTTTTTCCTTACATATCCATATTTTCAACATCTTTTATAATAAATATGAATTCCCTTTGGAAATCAGATAAAAACAAAAACATTTATATTATAAAGAAAATATTGTCACATCAGTTCTTCCTTTTTATTTTCTTTACTTGGATCCTGGGCTGGTACTAAAACTATGCACTATATATAGCAGCTTCTAACCGCATCTCCTTGCCTTCAATCATTCCTTTCTCTTTTTATTCTATGCTGCATAACCCTGGGTTAATCTACCTAAAATAAGATATCACTGATCCTGTGATGAATTTGGACAAATGCCTATGTGATTTCTCATCTGGAGGATAAATCCAAATTCCTTACCCAGTATTCAGGGCCCTCGCAATCTGACCCCTGCTCACCTTCCCATCTAATCCCCTACTCATCAAAGACATGCACATTTTGTTCCAATCAATCTACGCTCTTCACTAACCACAGCACATGTCATCCTCATCTCGGACTCTGTGCCTTTGCCCATGGTAAATGCCGCCTCCACCCCCCACATGCAAAAACTTCCTCCTGTTGATCCACCTAATAAATCTTCACCATTTATAATGACATTTTAAAAAACTCGATTCGTCCACCAAACCTCGCACAGTAACAGAGCCGTCACTGTCCCATATATCTCAATTGTGTCACTCTGAGAGACTCCCTCTGTGGGCACCTGGCTTGAGGCGCAGAAGCTGCCCTTTCTCTGGGCAGGCACAGCCTTTTCTGGGGCTCAGAGCTTTGTGGGTGCAGAGCCCCCTTGCCTACGGGGGGCAGGGGGACATTGTTACAGAGCATAACCAGCAGAAATAAATGTGGCAGTCATGAGCCAGCAATGATTTCATTTTTTTTTTAACTCAACAGAAATTTGTTTGACAAAAATGTATTACAGGGTCCAGGACCTGTGTTGGCATTATGGGAGAAGCTAAGTAGAATGACAAGGTCTGGCTTCCAGATTACTTATGCACACTTCCCGAGTCTCCACTCAGCTGTTATCCCTTTTATTTTTTTATTTTTAAAATAAATTTTATTGTGTATATTTGAAGTTTACAACAATGTTTTGGGATACTTAGATATAATATATATAGATAGTACAATGGTTACTCTTAAAGACCTAATTTCAAGAATGTCAAGGATCTGGCTACAATATTAGGACTAAGATGTTTTCCAATTATTTTATGATGTTTTTGCTCTACCAATTAGATTGTTAAAATTTGAGAGTAGAAACTATTAATAAATCTAGTATGTTTTTATTTACTTAATGTTTTTCATAATTGTCCAAGAAACACAAAATTACTTTAATAGAGAACACAATGATGATTGATAACTCCATTATAGATATATAAATAAATACTGATCTAATAACAGTTTTCATTTTTAATTTAACCAGTTTGGTTAATATTGATTAAGTTTATAATGTGAAAAAGTTAATGTAATTTTTTGCAAATTTAAAAAATATAAGCCCATATATATACATACATATATATATAGTATCAAGTAAAAATTAAGGAGTATTACTAAGGAATATGATGAGATAAAACAAATTGGAAGTTTCAAAATCTGCATACAGAAAATAAATGATTGCTAGAAAGTTAATACAAAAAGTACATATTATTTATTAAAGTGCTGGAGTACAGATGTATATTTTAGGCATGATAAAAAATTATTATTTAGGCTATTTTCAATTAGATCTAATCCAAGAATGAGGTGGCTTATTTTGCTTCCAACTCTGTTGGAGACTCCTTGCATAGAGCATTCCTTTAAAGCCATAAAAAGTTCCAAATGAAATTAACGTTGCTTAGATAAAGTTCGAAATATTAATACAAAAGAAAGCAAAACAAGTTAAGCCTGTAATAGCGGACAAACAAAATATGTACACTTTGGGTCCAGTGGAATATCTGCATATCAATCCTCTCAAATGACAAGGTTGGAAGATAAGCGTCTTGTTACTGCATGTAGAGACTGGTAGGTGTTACAAACCTCTAAACTTTTAAGTATTTAAATTAAAATAAGATAAATTAAAAAAAAAAAAAGATAACCAACCCTCTCCCCCACCTCACACATACACCAGTCCCCACCCAGAAAACAGGAAGGCAAAATCAACACACTTTCTGTTCCCTGGATTCAAAGAATCAATCCCTGGACAGAACAGAGGAAGTGGTGCTTCTATTTAAGGGCCTTCTCATGACTGTCACCCCACCCACTGGTTCAGGGAACAACCAAGTTGTTCACTGTCAAAGTTCTGCTTTTCTAAGTTGGCTAAAGGGATTCTCAGAAAGAAAAGGGGAGCAATGGAAAAAAGAAGTTAGAGGGAAAAAATGTCCTCTAATTTTTCAGTTTTAATTTTTGCTCTAACAAAACACTGCTGTTCAGTGCACACTAATAGCATTTTCTCCCATATTTAGTACCTAAAAAATTCTAACAATATCTTCGATATTTAAAAATACTTATGATTGGGCTGTTAATGCTATGTAGAATATGCAAAAAGTGCCTTGACTTGAACTGGATTTTCATATTCCCTACTTTCTATTTTCTTCTTCATAAACACACACACACACACACACACACACACACACACACACACATGCATGTACTTTTTAAAAAAAATTCCACCCCCTATATGTACTTTTAAGTTATGGGCTACACTAAGACAATTTAGTGGATGACAATAGACAGCAACATGAAACAGAATTTCTTGGTGTTCTTTAATGGTAACAACTAAATCAAAATCCTTACTTCGGTAAGTCAGACAAAAGCTCTTCTGTTAATCACCCGCTGGCAGTGATGACAACTGGGTGATGGTTCAGCTCTAGCCTAGACCCTTTTAGGTATTTCACCTGTAAGGACAGATTGTGAAAGAGCAGAAAAGGAATCTCAAATCTATGCAACAAAGCGTCCTCTCAAACAGTACATTTCAAAAATGTGAGTTGCATGTGCTAAGGATCTTATTCACAATGAGATCTTTTAAATCCCACGTTGAAGGTTACTCTGAATGACAACATGAGATGAGAGAAGAACCTTGGTGAGGAGTTGAGGAGCCTGGGCTCTAATCCTGGGGCTGCTCACACTTAGGGAAGAGAATTTG